TCAATATCTCCAGCGGTGTGAGACAAGGATGCCCGCTGTCACCTTTCCTCTTCAACTTCGCTATTGACGAAGTCATGGAGACTGCATTTACAGGACATGACTTGGAAGGTGTGGAGCTACTCCCAGGAGAACGACTTCTTGACTTAGAGTATGCAGACGACATTGCCCTCATCTGTGACAGCTCACAAACGTGCCAAGCCGCACTGAACAGATTAGCACTGGCTGTCAGCTGCTTCGGGCTTTGCTTTGCACCACCGAAGTGCAAAGCGTTCCTCCAGCATTGGCAGGGTTCGCCCCCTGTGCTGACCCTTGGTGGGGATCAGCTAGAAGTCGTTCAGAAATTCAAATACCTGGGAAGTTGTATCAGCGCCCTTGGGATCGAAGACGAGATCACGAACCGCATAGCGAAAGCTCGAAGTGCTTTTGCTAACCTTCGCCACCTATGGCGACGGCGCGACATTACTCTCGCCCTGAAGGGTAGAGTGTACAATGCAGCGGTACGTTCGACCTTACTGTACGGTTGCGAAACCTGGCCGCTAAGATCGGCAGACATGAAGAGGCTAGTTACGTTCGACCATCGGTGCCTTCGCAATTTGGCTCACATCTGGTGGGAACACCGCGTGAGTAACGAGCGTGTTCGACGCCTTGTTTACGGCCTAGGAAAAGGGAATGAACCGCTCAGCACCGTCATTTCACTCACCAGGCTCCGATGGCTGGGCCACGTGTTGCGCATGCCAGCCCACCGACTCCCTCGACGTGCGTTGTTTGCTCACCGGGGATGTGGGTGGAAGAAGAGGAGAGGTGGCCAAGCGATGACTTGGTCCAGAGGAATGAAGGCCCTCACTTCGGAGCTGGCCTCAGTTGGAGCTTCACGGCTCCCTGGTTGGGGTCCGAAAGACGGTGAACACGTTTGGCTGGATACACTTGCTGATATGGCAAGGAGCCGACCTCAGTGGCGTTCCTGCTGTGAGTTTCTTTGTCCCTCCCCATCCCTTTAGCCTCCCCCTCCATCTACGATCTTATTTCGTAGGGTAAAACGTAATTAAATTTTTGTTTTTGCCTAGTAGCCGGCTAGTAGCTTACCGGAACGATGCGTATCCGTTGCTGGTAGCTCAGCTGGCATTCAACTGTCGTATTTATTTTTCCTTTATGTATTGTATGTATGTATGTATTTCCTTTATGTATTGCGGTACAATAGCGGAGGTGTTTTACCATCTCTAGCTGACATGTATAATGATGATGATGACCCTTCATCCAATCTCACAGCACTACGGTAAAGTAAAACTTCTTCGAGCTGTGCTGACTTCTGACAATGAAGCAGAAGCTCTACTGTTACCAATAGCTCACCTCCGGAATGGGTCATGTTCCGTCCGCCTATTCACGGATATTCCGTGGAGCGAGTGCAGACAGGCGAAGCACTACTTGGACGAAAACTGGAAGGAATCCGTAACCAGGACCATCGTTGTACACGGTGTTCCCGAGACTGTAAGTCATGATGAGCGCGAAGCAACCACTCAAGGTCAGATATAGTGGCGGGGCATTCGCGAGACCTTCTCCCTGGAAAACCTTATAGCGCAATCAATCTCGATACTGCGCCGATCGCCAAACCACAAGGGGTGCGACACGAGGATTGTGAAAATGGTCCTTCAATCTAGATAAATGTCAGCAACGGTAGTGGAGGAATTGTATGCGGGCCTCAGGAGCCCTCCTTCCGAGCTCCGGATCAAAGCAGTAGATGCTAAGCATATACACTAGATAGCTGCTTAGTCAGACCACTTGCCTACAAGAGTTCGGATCAAATCAATCAATTAGCCAACGAAACTGGCAAACACATCCCATACATTACTCACAGAGAGAAGCAAAGTGGTAATGATAGGATCCATGAATCGGACACTGATGTGTTCGTCAACGCCCCACCCAAAAAGCGATTAGTTGCCCACCTTTCACCCATCGGCACAACATTTTATCCATAACACCCATTCCACGATTCATTTCTAAAACAGAGAAACGCTCCTGCATGTACATCAATGCACAAGGTCTCCTGAACAAGCTTGGGAAACTGCGGCTAAGTGAAGTGTCACATGTTAGAGACCACATGTTCGTTACGTGAACCTGGTTGCACTCAGAAATTACCGATGCCGAAGTTACGATAAATGGTATGTCCCTTCTCCGAAATGATCGACATAGCAAAGGCCGGGGGTAATGTTATAATACGGCAACGACGTGCAGTGCGAACCGGTGGCCGATCCCGAAACGCTGATCATAGACTCACTGGTGCAGTCTGTGACTGTAACGCAACGACACTTTCCTTTTGGCAATTGTTTATCGTCCCCAATGTCCACCCCAGAGATGGACTCCCGCCTGGCATTATCATTGGGAAGGGTCCTACGAGGACGATACAGTCATGTTCTCATCTTAGGCGACTTCAATATTCATGATTTGGAAATTCCGGCATCTTTTAACAAGCAGTTTAAGGCCGACCTGCAAAAGTAAATAGCAAGCATTCCGCTCTTCAGCCATGTCAGTTCACCCACCCGATTCAGAGCCCGAAATAAACCATCTGTGCTTGATTTATTGTTCACGAACGAAGAGCTCATGATCGAGAAACCAAGTCTGGAGAGCCTTCTGGGGTGGAGCGACCATGTAACCATAATTTACGACTTCGTGTGTTATGCGGGGTATCCGCAAGAACATAATAACTTGTGTCGAACAATCACCATCTACGACATACTGACATAACTTATGGGAGATGCCACCAGGGAGTTTCCGGACGACTATTCCATTGCCAGTGCTTTGTTGGGTTTTACTGGCAAGTACAGTGATTTGCTTAAATCTGCATGGATCATCAAGCCCCTTCGTTCTGCAAGGGCACAAACATTCATTCGGAGTAGAACCCGAAAACACATGACAGTAAGCGACGCCGCGTGGCATGTGTATAGGGCAAACCCTAGCCCTGACAACTGGAGTAACTATGTCGTGCATCGTAATCACTGTACCACACTTATGCGTGAGGAAAAATTAGTACACCAGCAGAGTCTAGCGGAAAAGTTTTGTGTTAACAAAAAGCTTCTTTACAGACAAGCGAACAGCCTCCTGAATGTGAAACGTGGTGTTCCCCCACTAATATCAGCGTATAGATGTGCTCAAACCGCCAAGGATGCAGCCAAAGTTATACGTCTACAATATGCCCCAATTTCTCGACATGCTACCAGCATTTCTAACATACCTGTTCCATTCTCCCAGTTGCTAGTATTTACACACGTCACGTTTTATTCAGCCACCATTTTGAAGAAGCTGCTATCGTTGCGCACCCATAGTTTCCCATAGTTGTCAACATTCCCCCGAAAGCACTGCAGGGGGCAGCTACGAGGAAAGCTGAACCATTAACGAGATTTCTCCAAAGGTGCCTGTATGAGAAGTAGGTCCCTAGCATGTGAAACCAAGACACCATTACGCCGATTTTCAAAAGTGGTAGCCCTTTAGAGCCAGCCAATTATCGCCCACTGATTCTCCTCCCAGTGCACTCCAAGGTGATGGAATGTATCATAGCTGATGCTGTAATGGGCTACCTGGAAAGGTCTAACATCATAGCACCGGCGCAACACTGCTTCCGTCAGCATCGGTCATGTATCACCAACCTACTACTTGCCCGTGGCAGTTAGACCGAGATAGCCGACAGTGTGACCGGCAGTGATGTCATCTACCTAGAGTTTTCCAAAGCATTCGACCACATAGATCACCGCATCCTTCTCCAAAAGTTGCAAGCATAGGGAGTTGGAAACTTTGTGCTTGAATGGATCGGAGACTTTCTCTTTCAGCAGCGCCTACAGATTTGAGTTGAATGTTCATTTTCTGATCCAATTGATGTGGACTGCGGTGTTCCTCAAGGGTAGATGTTGGGGCCGCGGTTACTCTTGTTCTTTATTAACGACCTGGCGTGTGTCATCAAGTCAAATTTTCTGCTTTTTTCTGCTGACATCAAGATATGGTGGGCAATTGATTGTCAGCAAGATCCCGATATGTTGCAACAGTACTTAGACTGCGCTTTTGAATGGTTGAAGTTTAATCTACTTCCCTTTAACACGGACAAGTGCAAAACCATGCATGTCCATCACGAGCCCACTACGCTTCTAAGCTTGGAGACAATACGCAGAAAACCGCCTTACAAAAGCGACGCCTTGAGGTGGTGATCCAAGACGACCTTGGCTGTTCGGCACAATCCTTGAAGGCGTCGAAAACCGCAAACCAACACGTTAACCTGTTACGGAGGGCTTTCGGGAGGTTCGATCCCTCCATCTTCCCCAAATGCTCAATGCGCATGTGTGGCCGCATGTAGAGTACGCGATCCAGTATTGGTAAACCTGGTTAAAACGCGACATGGTTGCTCTGGAGATTGCACAGTGACGGGCAACGAAAAATATGATAGGATTGTCCCACCTGCAATACCATAGACGACTGAAAGCCCTGGGGATGTACAGCAGAAGATATTACCATCTGCGAGGTGACCCCATCCTGGCCTTCCAGATTTAGAAAAACCGCTCACGTTCGCCGAGACCTCCTGAAGCTTAGCTGCAACACATAATTGAGAGGTCATTAATTGAAATTTGCCACCCAACACAGTCTGTTTGAGTACCGCCGGAATTATTTTTCCATTCGAGTTTGTCAACCGTGGAACGCTCTTCGACTTCTGTCGTTTCCGCGCTCGCGCTACCCATTTAAAGAAACGACTTGACCTTGCTTTACACCATTTACATTACTTGATCTGCTTTCTATTCATTGGATGACAACAAGACGCAGACAAACATTGTGCTCGCCAACCCGACGAAATCGGGGTAGACGGATATACCTATGTGTTAAAGTGGATAATATGGTGAGTCCACATATGTGTTTTGCACTTTTGTGTAACTTCATTGGACTAACACTTTTCCCACAAATCGTCCCACGGGACTTGTCAAGCCGTTGCCTTTTTATCCGTATTATACCATTGTTTCATTGTTCAGGTTGAAACTCGAACGCTATTTGGACTTCTCAAAGCAAGAAGCAGAGCGCACCGGTATTCCACCCGTTTACAAACGCAACTGTGTTGTTAGTTTGGACGCTATTTCCGTCTATTCATCCAACCTAGCTGTCGTCGAATCATCAATCGAAGCTGAAATTGCCAACCTGGGTCTTGACAGTTCCAGTAGGACTGCGCTTCTGGAGACACACTCCATCAAATCCCCTCACACTGGAGTCGTGTTTGTCGGCTTCGCTACTGTTCAAGATGCAATCCGGTACTTGTACTAAAATTCAAATGCAAAGGATTTTTTCCAACTGTATCAAAAATTTCTCGCTTCATGATGTTAGGCAAAATCAGCAACAGCTTACATATTTGTCTCAATAGGTAGTGATAGCGGGCATCGAACCCGGGACCAATGTGGTGTTAATTTGAACCACTACGCATTTAGCTACCGGGTCACGACGAGCAACGCTTTGCACAACGGTGAATTACTGATTAAGGGTCGTTTTGAAGTGCAAGTTGTGTGAAGAGATTGCGATGCGCTATCCCAGTGTGGAACTGGCAAGGTCGAAACGCGCAATGAAACGCAGTGTTTTCGGTCGGACAACACCCCATGTTCTTATTCTCCAGCTACGGCACCAGCGATCGAACTGGCCAAGGTTCGCTTCAATGCGAATCACTGTCCACCTTGTGACGGCACGTCGCGACTCAGTCACACGACGATTAGGCAAAAGTGACCCTCCAAAAATATGGCACACTTTTTTCACTCGGGTAGTGATACTTTTATTGTGGTTGACAAATGTCACTTCCCATAACTATGGCGACAATTGTCCACGGTATTAGTGCAATTTCGAGCCATTAGCGTTCGATTTTGTGAAGGAAGACAAAATAAGTAAACAAAACTTCTATGTACCAGTAGCGCAAAACTTGTTTTCTGAAGTGTAAAATATTGTAAGTGCTCCACATTGCCCACTGGACTTCATATAGTACACTGCCGAAATCAGCGTTTTTAACTAGCAACCTGGCAGTACAGTGGAACAGTAGAACAATGGTTTTCTACCGGCAGCAAAGCTAAAGCTTATCAGGTCCCATTGGAAGGTCATGGTAAGTGTTGCAAAAGCAACTTCATACAAATGGACTCCCCGCGGTATACGTATCCTAAGCTGTAAATCCACTATAAGTCCATAAGGAATGATGACAAATGGGACGTTGGTAAACATTATGCCTCCTCCTGGTGAACACACAGAGGTGAAAAATGTGGAATGTGTTCTAGAACTTGACCACAGTGAAATTTCTAATATAAACGCATGTTTATTAATAGGCAATAAGTCATGTGGGATGGTGCAGAGAAATGAGTGCACGTTCAACTTGGGCTTTGTACTCTGCCAGCGTCGTAGCCCAGATGACAAATTCCGGTACGGCATTCCACTTTTCGCAAACATCAGCCAAAACAGCTGTACTGCTCTTCTAGCTTTAGCTAGTGGCCTCTTAACTTTCTCTTGTGACTGAGCTCTAGCGAATGCCAGCGAAGAGACTGGACCTTAACGTGGTGCGATGGTTTGTGTGCCGCAGTGTTCCATTGAGCTATGCTGGGTGGGGCTTTTTGCACCTTCAAAGCCACTCATACCAGATTGGTCAATGGTTAGAGGCCAGACAAACTCAGCCTCCTGGTCCTCCAGGTTGGGGGTTGGAATGAGGTGGCTCCTTATTCCTCAAAACGAACTCCTTGTAGCCCAATGCCAAACCCGCTGCCTTGCGGACGGGTTTTTGAACCAAAGGCTTTGGTTGAGAACCCTAATCGTTCTCCTGTCTAGGTCTGGGCAACCTGACAGTATCCTACCATGACCTTTTCTTCTAACAATATCTTGATGCGCTGGCCGTCGCAGAAGATAATAAACGACGCCCTATCTGTTGCATCGAACAGGGTGGATATGGGTTTGGGTGCTACTGCACAAGCCTTCCCGCCTTCTTATTCCCTTTTTGTGCTTTTTCATCCTTAGCGTCCCGCTCCAACTTCCCTTTCAACCCCGTTTTCAATCCCCCAATGCTTGACCCTACCCCACCTCGCTTGAATAGTCGCTTGTCTTCTAGTTTCATCTCACACAAAAGCGCAGGGCATCACTCCAATTCAGTCGACAAGTCCATGTTCAACCAAGCGGACGACGTCAGTCCATCTGCTTTCCTTTGGAGTCCTCGATCTTTGCAAAGACTGGCATGATTCAACGTGTGCACTTTGCTACAGATTGGCCAACAGGCAACACTTACCCGAACACTCGAGACCCTCTCGATCGATATTTGCTGTTTATCGGAAACCTGCCTGCAAGTTTCGAGCTCCGTGCTTACTCTGCGATCCCACACATGCGACACTGGCGGCACATTCTCATTGATCCTGTCTGACGATGATGCAGATTCAAATGCAAGTAAATCAGGCGTCGACATTGTTTTAAGTGCGCGGGCTGAGGCTGCCCTGATCGACTGGACCCCTGTCAACAGCCGGATGTGCACCGTTAGGTTGGCTGGCTGGTTCTAGGCTTCGAAGTCGCGCGAGGTCAAACTGTGCCTATTTGTCATTGCGGCTTACTCCTCCACAAACTAAACTCCTGATTCGGTAAAAGATGATTTCTCCCACGAACTTAACGATCGTCTTCCTTACAGAAAGAGCACGGATACTGTGGTGCTTGCTGATAATCTAAACGCCCAAGTCGGAAAATTGTCCTCTGCTGAGCTTCATCTGGGCGGTCAAAATGGTGTAGGCTCCAGTAATCATAACGGTGAGTGGTTGCTAGACCTGTGTGAAGGTGCTCGTTTCTTTTTGCGAGCACTAACTTTCGACATAGCACCCGCAACTGAGTGACTTGGCACCCATCAGCCTCATTCTAGTCATGGACGCAAGTCGACCATATCGCGATTAGTTACCGCTGGAGAGGCTGTGTCCAAAACTGTCTGTCGATTTGGAGCATCAGCTTGGATTCCCATCAGGCTCTCGTGTGTGCCGATCTGCTGGTGCGTTTCGGTTGACGTCCGTAACGTCGCTCTGAGCGTAATGACACCAGCCAGTTGGCGAAGCCAGGTATTCTGAAGGCGTATCAAACTACGCTGACATCTGGACTGAGTAATCGTCCACTGTACACCGTCGATGATCACTGGTCGCGTATTCGTCAAACGTTACCATCAGCAAGCATGTCTTCATGTGGCAGGTCAAATTGACAACCTAGGCATTGGGTCACTACAAAGTTGCTGGAACTTATGAATGCTCGCTGACGTATTCCGGTTGGAAGCGAATACAATGAGACTCGCAAAAATCTCAGGGCAAAACTGCGTGCTGGCCTGAAGAGAGAGCGCGAAGTCTGGTGGTCTTCTCGTGCATTGGAAATAGAAACAGCCGCTGCCTTTGGTAATCATCATACGTTATTTCCTCTGATACGGGAAATAGGCAGCAGGTGACTTGGTGTTAGCAAGACATTACGTGACGAGAGTGGATAGCCGATATACAGCTTGTTAAAACACTTGAAGCATTGTGCCGAACACGTTGCAAGACAGTTTAATCATTCTGAGTTATCACTTTCTCTTTCGGACATTGCGTGTATTTCTCCATGCGCCGTCTCCTTAGATCCGCCCTCACGCGCAGAAGTCAAATGTGAGATCAAACTGTTGATATTGTATAAAGCCACAGGTGCAGAAAGTATTCCCCCAGCTCTCTACAAATTCGGGGGACCTACTCTTGCCGATGATTTACACCAGTTGCTAATGGAACTTTGGGAGCAGGAGACTGTCCCGACAGACTGCAACCACTTGGACACTGTCCCAATTTTCAAGGGAGGCTCCCGTTCGGAATGCGGCAACCATAGAGAGATCAGTCTGATCTCAATTACCTCTAAATTGCTTGCCTGTAGTTCTCCACAGACTGACAGGCGATCGTGAAGGCCAGATCCGCGAAGAGCAAGCCGGGTTTCGTCGAAATCGAGGCTTCATCGACCATATGTACTCTTTATGTCAATTGTTGGAGCACCGCCACGTTTATTGGTGACGCACTGTTGTCGTGTTTCACGACATCAAAAATGCATTCGATTCGATGGGTCGATATGCGCTTTGGGACTGTCTGCTGAGGAAAGTTGTGCCCGATAAATAGGTAAACATTATCAAAGCGCTGTACGCGCATAGTTCTGGTAGAGTGAGGGCTTAGGGTAAAGTGTCGCCGCCTTTTAATATCGTCAGCGGTGTGAGACAAGGTTGCCTGCTGCCACCTTTCCTCTTCGCTATTGATAAAGTCATGGAAACAGCGTTCGCTGGACACGAACGAGGTGTGGAGCTACTTCCTCGTGAGCGAATTCTTGACTTGAATTATGCGGATAACATTGCCCAAATCTGTGACAGCTCCCAAACGTGCCAGGCTGCACTGGACCGACTAGCACTAACTGTCAATAGATTTGGACTATTCTTTGCTCTATCGAAATGCGAAGTCCTTCTCCAAGATTGGCAGTGACCCACGTCTGCGCTGACCCTTGGTGCTGATCAGGTCAAAGTCGTTCGGGAATTCAGGTACCTGATCTGCGCCCATGGGATCGAAACTGAAATTACGAACCGCATAGCAAAAGCTCGAGGTGCTTTTGCCAATTTCCGCCACATGTGGCGCAGACGCAACATCACTATCGCTCTGAAGAGCAGAGTTTATAATGCAGTCGTCCGTTCAAACCTTATACGGTTGTGAAATCTGGCTCATCAAGTCGACAGACATAAAGAGTCTAGCCACATTCGATCATCGTTTCCTCCTTAGACTAGCGCATGTCTAGTAGGAGCACCGCGTAAGGAAGGACCGTGTTCGGCGTCGCGTATTTGGTGCAGGAAGAGCTAGTGAACCTCTCTGCACCATGATATCACGCGCCAAGCTCCGATGGCTGAGACACGTTTTGCGCATGTCAGCGCACCGAATCCAGCGATATGCATTGTTTGTGCACCGGGGGTTCGGTTGGAAGACGAGGAGGGGAGGTCCAGGAATGAGTTGGTCAAGAGAAACGAAAACCGTTACTTCGAAGTTGTCGTCGGTTGGTGCATCCCGACTGCCTGGCTGGGGTCCTCAGGACGATGAACACGTTTGATTGCACATTTTTGCTGATATGGCTGGGAGCCCGCCCCAATGGCGTTTGTGTTGTGAGTTCCTTTGTCTATCCTCTTTTGCTTATCCTCCCCTTCCAGTTACGATCGCATTCGTAAGGCATGATACAACGTTTTTGCGGAACGATAGCCGGCGGTTAGTTCCTTGGAATGATGTTCATCCGTTCCTGGGGACTGAGCCGGCATGCCTGTGTTTCTTTTTGTTTCTTCTTCTTGTATTTGGTATTGGGGCACAATAATTGGGGTGTTTTCCACCTGCAGCTAATGTGTACAATAAGGATGATGATAATGGCTGCCAGATCTGTTTTGTGTATTCCATGTGTGGACATACATATGCTCAGAAAAGTTGCGAAAAATCGGCCAATCAGAGTCTGAATGCATGCCGCAGAAGATCCACGTTTTGGGTGCCTCTTATTGGTGTCTTTTCAGTCTGCTGCGAACAACCAAGGACTGCCTAGATCAAAACACCCTGATCTTTCTCACCTAAAGCAGTTGGAAGCTTCTGTTCGCCGTTTACTGCGGCCCGCCAGCTGGTGTCTTATGCTCAGCATTCTACATATTTCCTCACTAAAACAAGTATATACTGGACTGAACACGCGTAAATCCTATCCAGGTCGGCTTGAAGTAGTAGAACACCATCTGGTGTATGGATCTCCTCCACACGTTGATATCATCAGCATAGAGAAGGAAATTCGAGCTTATGTGGTACATTATATCTTTGAAATACTTCAAGAACTGTGGTCCCAGTACCGACAATTGTGGTGCTCAGTATTCGATTTAGCTGGGGTCTGACATGGAGTTAATCACTCGTATCTCAAGCGCCTATGGAGGAGAAAGCTTCTGCTTCACCCCATGAGTGGGTCACCAATCTCGAAGCGTTCGATTTGAAGGGAAGGTCATCATGGTCTAACCTCTCGAATGCCTTGAATAAGTTGAGAGAGAATACAGCCACTCCTGCACCAATGTCTACTACTTCAGTCCAACTGGATCGCGTCAGCAGTAGAGTCGTAATGCAGGATCGATTGCATCGAAGAGATGTTGTGCCTTTGCAAAGTAGGTAAATTCTTCCAAGTAGAAAGTTGGCGCATCGGCGGTAGTGGCTTCCGTGAATTTTGAAAGCTCCAGTAGGACGATAGTTTACTTGATCGGAACGAGGATCTGCCTTGTGAATCAGAGTTATTGCCCCATGTATCCAAATGTCTGGTACTTGTACTTCGTCAAACCAACGCAAAATGAGTCGAGCTAATGGCTCAGCTAAGCTCTCTCCCCTCATCGCAATCGACTTCGAGTGAGTATTAGCAACTCCGGCAGAGCTGTGCTTACGCATATATAACACCATTTTCATTACAGTTTATGCCTTTAAAGATATGTGAATAAACTTTGGAGGCGAGGCAACACTTGTCAAAAAGTTATGTGGACACCTAACTCGCCGAAAGTTTGGAGCCCATTGCAGGCACAGGGCATTCGCAGAATCCTTCGTGGTCAACGTCAGTCCTTCCGCTGTTTGCAGAGGGGAAATTACCAACCTTGCCTAATGCAAGTTGTTTAAATGGGAATATTGCAGCTTGTGATTCAAAACCATGTAGTTCGCTGAATTCTGCCAGCATGCTATTTTATTCTCGTGGACACTTTGAGTGCAGCTCTTACCTTGGGTCGCAAAGCCATCCAGGTATCCAAACTGGAAAAAAGCTCATAGATTTAAGAGGTCGTTTTTTGGACTTCTGCACACGTGCGTGACCTGCTGCGTACAAACGAGACCACACCTTTCCGATGGATAGCCTTAGTTTCCGATGCCTTTGCAATCATATTGCTAAACTGACTGATAAAAGGTTCCCATGCGCTAACCCGTGCTTTGTCTTCCAGTACGGTCTAGTTGGTTGTCTCACCGCGTCGAGCTAATATGTCCTAGTGGATAACCGTTCTTGTTGCATCATCGACTTCCACGGGATATCGTGCATAACAAATGGATCGTCCATGGGCACACTCAAAATGGAAGCCATTGCCGAAGTACAGAGCCACCCCTGCCTGTATACTGGGTCGGTCTTGCTAAACAACGGCATGCCAGGTAGCGCAACATCGATCTCTGTTATATCGGACGTAATCAGATCTCCGTTATACCGAGGATGTCACAGGCCTTTGATCCATGACGAAGTCGTAGTTCGGAAAGTTTACTAAGCAGGACTTGAACATTAGTGTGTATACAGGATAACTTTAGACGCCAGAGGCGCTTGGCAAGGAGGATATGAGTGGGGTAAATGTATGCCGAACGACAAAAGGCCAGAAGTTAACCGTTTTTTGGGAATTTGCCCAGTGACGATATTAATGCAGACCGTTTCGGTCTCTTCTATAGATGCGGTATGCGTCCAACGGTAGCTTGCTCGATATCCACTTGTCTGAGCACAGTTTTTGAACCGCTGTTGTGATAATGATTCGTCTCGGGTAGCGTTTTCCTTTGATAACGCCAGATGACTACGGCTCTCTAAATGCTGTCATTAATCCTAGTTACGAAGGTGTGTTGCGCAGTATCTGCCAGCTACGGATTGATTTCCCCGCGATATCTTGAGACTGAACCATAACTTTTAGTAACCTCCGACCACTGCCTTTGTAGCCTTGAAATTGCCTGAAGTATGACGTCACTAGCGACAAGAGTTTTCCGGATTTCCACTCATGGGTATGGGCTTTCTCGTCGCTAGCTGCCTGTAACTCGGACATGCCATAATCGTTCTGCTACTGGTGGTGTGATAGTCGTTTGATTTATATTTTCACGGAACATCCGGAAAAATTCGCACCTACTCGTCTTCACTCCGGAGACGATGTACGGACAAAAACACCACCTCTACATCATCTGTGGATCCAAATGATACCGCATTAGTAAAGAAACACTATAATGGGTGGAGTTTAGATGTCTAGTGATGCCCAAACACCGAGCCGATCACAAATAACAGTCCATTGTTTCAGATCATCCTGCCCTTTGCTCCTTAAGAAGTCTACCTTGGACTCAGGAACGTTGATGCATATGGGTTTTAGGGCATCCTAGACCCGCCTGGTGTTTGGTGATGTGGGTGGCTCGATGGTGGGTGGCTTTGGCGACCTCTGTGCAGTTTGCGCCTGGTCATTGTCACATGTTGTGGCTAAAGTGACTGAAGTCACTGCAATCGCATTTTGAACACATTTAGCAGCAACTGTCGCATAAGCGGATCCGATTTTACTGAGGTTCGGTTGTTCTGTTTTAATCGGAACCGTAGACGTTACTGAGGTTGCATCAGTCGACAGTTCGGACAACAACTTAAGGTTGACAGAGCCGGATATGCTTCCAACGTTCGCGATGAAGTGTCGATTTGGGGTTCCCTAGGTTTATGGTACATGATGTAGTGGGAATACCTACAATATTCCTTAGCTTTGAGGTGGAAAACTGGAAAGATGAATGAGGTACAATCCTTGCTAATTTCGACGCTTGTGAAGCAACAGTTGTACTTAAACGAAGTTTAGTTTCGGCGAGTAGACTATCAAACAGAACCAAGGTTATCTTGGCATATTGTTTTTTTCATTATCGCGGTTCGACTAACGTTGCCACATTTAATAATTATAAGACATAATAATAATAATAATAGGTATATTTCTCTATAATTGTGTACTTGAGTCCATATTTGAAACAGATCAAATATGTACTGGTAGTATCATGCTCTTTCATTAGCAGTATGAATTTATGGTGAATACAAACAACGGTATATGCCTTGTCGGTGAGAGTTACAGTCCAAGTGGACGTTACGATTCTCGATGTACGGCGGAATTATAGGAAGCAAACGTTTTGCATTTTGAATTTGACAAGGCAGTTTTCACTCTATTTCTGGCGGAGATGGCTAATGGATCGGTTAAACCTTTCGAGAAGATTAAGAGATTGTCAAAAAGAGTAGGAGTAAATCCAGGCGGCCTATATAACATTAACCTAACGGATTCTACTACTGGGCTCAGCAGGCGTAGTCTCCATTTTAACGGCTCTGGTGATGAGCCGGAAATTGTGTAGGCTACACTGATTTTCTCGTGTTTTGTTTAACTGAACTGAAGGAAGAACCTAATCAACTCCATAAAGTCGTCGTTTAACAGAGATTCATGAACAAATATAACTAAGCGCTCTGTGAGTCAAATGTGCTGTAATTCTTATCGCGTTACCTATGATGAATAAAGAGTGTCCTCAAATGACCAAATGTCCCACCCTTGCCTAATTTCCTTTTTGTTTTTTCCTTACTTTTTGACTATTAATTATTATCTTTCTGGCTCTGCTTACGACAGTCAGACTACCATGGACTAACTCATCAATGGAGACAAACGGAAGCGAATGTCTTAGTTACTAAAGCGTCTTTCTGAGTGAAGGACTGGTTTTCTAAGGAGACAGCTGCCGGTTCTCTTTGTATCCAACGTACATTGCTAACACTCAGTTACAGCACTTGAGCGACTTGTCGACTTTTCAAGTTGTTATACGTTAAACCTGTACCTGAATCCGCGTTCATTTCTCGAACTGAAAACACTATATTAGGCAGTATCAGTATACTGGAACGCATTGTTGAGTTACAAATAACAGGTTGCCCAGCGACTGTAAAATGTTTCACAAATTTACCGGTAGAGCAGTAGCTAAAGATAGCAGCCGGTGATGCGTTCGGAAATGTCCTGTTTCTTGCGTTGGATCCCATACGCACTGCCTAAAAATGAGGCATTTGCCAACAGAGTACTTACACTTGGAATGCTTTCGGAATATTGCGCGTTCGAAACACACGTGTTTTATGCAACCCCACAAAAATACCACTCACTTAGCGCTCTACCTAATGTAACAGATGGTTTTACTCGATCACAATGAACTTATTTGCATCGACTTTTCTTACTATCCATTTATAAATATGGTTAACTTACTAAGTTGGTTTTGTGCGACAGCTTTTCCGCGTCATGATTAAATTTCATGTGATTGGTATTGCCAGCTCATTGTCTTAAATTTCTTCGGGTTTCTAGTCATCCTGTGGTTTCTTTCGTCAGTTTAATTGTGTCACTATGCGAAAATAACTTCACGTATAAGTCCTACTTCGTTCCTCCATCAGTCATCTTGTCTCTTCTCTCAGCGTTGCAAAAGGATTTTCAACCCACTTACACGACGTGGTTCCAGTTGAATATAGCATTCACGCTGAAATTCGTGATCAGTCTAATTGCTGGCCCCAAATTTTCCTCAGCCGTTTCCACCCCAGACAGTACGTTCAAATGCCGTTCCGACGAGTTAGGCTTGCTCCATGGCCCTCCGATATTTTGTGGTAAGTGTATGTCCAATACTTGCCTCTATGTAACTTACCATTATCTCTTTGTCGGAATCTAAGTAGTTTTCATGGGACGGATGCACCACAGACGTATTTTTGTGACGAACATCAGGATTCAGTTGATTGACTTCCATGTTATAGTCTCATTTGTCTTTCTGAAAATGTAAAAAAGTGGTTATCCATATTTTTAAATGAACGCTTTTTGAATTCGCGCTTGTTTCTTCTGTGGATTACTAAATTTTCGCGACCGCAAGGGAAGATTGAAAATCAAACGGTGTTACAGTACTGTTTAGTTGATTGCCTGATGCAGACATTAACTACCTGAGATTGCGTTCTTCCCTGAAAAATGATACCACGCCTTCACCCATTCAGGTGATCACACCAACAAGTTGGCTAGTGAGTTGGCTGTGAGTTAACAGGGATTTCAACCGATCTCGCACCGTCTCTGTTTATGAACAACCTAAGTATACCATCGCCAATGCATCTGAAACACACGTTGTATGGACTGATTAAGGTGCGCTATTTCAATCGGAACCACGTTTTACAGTCAAGCGAAAGTCGACCAGCCTCGTCAGTAATAGCGCACCTAAGAAAAAAAATTGGGTGTTACCCGTTCCCAGCAATACATTTCCAAACCGGTTCCAGGTTTATCTATACTCTTCGCGTAGAAGCAAAAGAACTTCCACTTGAGTCCGAAAATTAGCAATTACCGGCTGGCGGGTTTTCTCTTACGTCGCCGAACGTCAAAAAACAGTTGTCAAAACCTTTAATGACTCATTTGAGACACGGCTGAATACACCATTTTGTAATGTTTTCGTCCCAGCTGCTCATGAGCTCCATAGCACAACCAAGTCTGGTAAAGCATAGACGCCTTTCGCCATATTGGGGCTCGTCATTGATACGCATTCCCTCGGTCCCCTACTGGGGATCCAACACATGACCGCTAGCGGCAGATGCCAACTATCCAACAGGTTAAGTCACTGAGCCATGGGGGGCGTGGGCTAGGCTACATAATTTACAAGCTAACTGGGATATAGCACGATCTACCTTCCACTGCCATACAGGTTACTACCTTAGCAGAGAACAGTGGCTAGCCTCCGAGGTCATGACTTCCTCTTGCTGGACGCTACATCCACAGCATTTGAAACTAGAAGAGGCTACATTTTATGTTACTAATTTACTAATATATGTCGCACATTAGTAACATAAAATGTAGCCTCTTCTAATTTCAAATGCTATGGATGTAGAGTCTCGCGAGAGGACGTCATGACCTTCGGATGCCAGCCACTGTTTTCTGCTAAGGTAGGAACCTGCATGGCAGTGGAAGATAGATCGTGCTATATCCCAGTTAGCTTGCAAATTATGTAGCCTAACCCACGTCCCCCATGGCTCAGTGACTTAACCTGTTGGATAGTTGGCATCTGCCTCTAGCGGTCATGTGTTAGATCCCCAGTAGGGGACCAAGGGAATGCGTATCAATGACGAGCCCCAATATGGCGAAAGGCATCTGGTGCTTTTCCAGACTTGGCTATGCTATGTAGGTTGTGAGCAGCTGGGATGAAAACATCATTGCAATTAAAATCATCCTACTCATTTGATACTTTTTCGTGTTTTAATTCCGAGGCTCTTACATGTGTATATTTCGATGCTACTAAGTGGTGGCGGTCAGTCGTTGCATCATCCAACGCTGGTCTCGGGTGCAAATGATTACAAGGGCCGTAGTACGGCCTGAGAGAGCACTAAAAAAGTAAAATATTTACATGCGAACATCATGACACGCGTTTTGAGGACAATGGAGAATAAGAAGTAGAATTGTAAAGGTAGGATAGCACCATTCAACACAGTGCGTGAAAACGCTAATCCTTGTGCGTTACGATTCTAAACAAGGTAAGACATTGACATACATTAAAGCACCGTAGCTGTGAAGCAAGTTATTGGAGCTCGGTACGATGTCTAAGCACTGTTTGAATTTGATTGAACTAGTCATAAAACTACACTTCACGAGGCATTTCGAACATATTTGATCTTAGCAATTAGAGATAACAGTCCACGAACCAGGATCAGTGAGATGTTAATTGGAACATCCACTCTATAGTCATGATGGACGATGATTGGCACACCGGTTACTGACTGATTGGAGCGTCACTTTGTAGTACTCTTGTGTGATTGGATTGTGACGCGCAAGCTCAATGTGGACTTTGATTCCATTGATATTACTGTGACGCGTGGCGCGCGTACTTTTGGGTCATTTAGATAATTCCTCTCTATCTTCTCGCAGCATAATCGCTGTGCGCTCACTCGAACCGGATTTGGCAACCCAACACAGTGGTCCACCATACCTGAAATTGTCTTTCCCGGTTAAAGTCCTCATCATCACTAACCGTTATAACTCGATCACTTCGAACCGATCACCAACTCGTATAAGACTATTCGATATGGAATTCTCGAGGTAGTCCGAAAAGTTTAAGGTTATTCCAATCCGGTTTTCCTCAAAGTACCTGTGAAAGAATTTGTAATCTCTCAATCTATGTTCACCGTTGTGTCCAGCTTCATTTACAGGTTCCAGTCAACTGTCATTCTTTGTGACCTTGTCAGCCAGTGCGCCTGCGTAAATCATTACACGGACCATCGATCACGCCGACCCTTGTAAGTACAACGCTCTGCTGACTGATGTGCACCGTTATCTAATTTGGAAAAGTAGAGAACATCAACCAGCTCATGGTGCCAAGTAACGACACCCCGTTGGATGGCAGGAATCAAGCAAATGCGAATCCGAAAGGTCTCCAGGCAAAAGTTGTCTGTGTTTGGGAAATGTAATCGATTAGTCAAATTAAATAAGTAACTAAATATTTTATTCTCGAATTCATCGAGACAAACTAACTCAGGCTTGCTCGCGCTGTTTCGTATGGTATCAGCCGAAGTGTGTAAATTTGTCCCAACGACAGGTACGAGAGCGAAATGGCTCCCAAGATGTCCTTTGGTTCGGTACTGCGTGTCCGACCATCCCATTAGTAACGTATATGCTTATCTTAGTCCAGATGTGCGACCGTTTAGCAGTACATGGGATGAAAGCTAGGCTTGTTTCATTGGAGCCCCACGGAAGCAGAGTGGCCTCTAAGCAACGGAATTCGACATCATTCACATCCCCCGAATCACCATCAGCTAGATCCCAATCGGCGGTGTCTTCTCTAACTTTGGCAGAACGCCAGGCGAAAACTGACCGTAATTAAGATAGCCGAGCAGTTCTCATGTCAACGCAAATCAAGCTGTACCCGTAACGGCTGGTTAAGTAAATTGCACTAGATCTAGCATCTGCATTAACCAGGATGAAGCAGCCGAATACCAACTCTCGGCAACTGCAGTTCAAAAGTATCTTGTCGAGCCAAAGTTCTCCGGACATCAGTCACGTATGCAGAGACTGCTGCGCAGGCCAGTCGGCAGGCCACAGTTGCGGTTTATTCTGTTTTAAACCATGTCCACGAGAATCGAGAGACAAACATAAGCAATCAGCACTTGTCAACAGGTCAGGATAAACGATTACACCACCTTGTAGCTCAACGAAAAAGGAAGCTAACAATAGTGCCAAGAGTATTGTATGCTCCAATGTCTCCGAATCTATCGCCATCACATTGTGGGGTAAGTCGTCCGACAACCAAGACCAATCGAACTCATTGTGCGTGCTGGTGAGTATCAAAGCCAAACTCATAACTTGTACGGATTACTCGTCATCCGAACTCCGCACACTGTAGATAACCCAGACTCACTCGAGTAACACTGGAAACCTCCCCTGATGTAGAAAACGTTTTATTCTCTGCAAGTTCACTACAACAGGGAACATGTGTGCGACGCATCTATTCTGATGTCCTTCGGAGCGCGACAATCAAAATGGAACGCCGAAGTAGGGTACAGCAAGCAAGACCGCATAAACACCGTCTTCATACATGGCATGCCAACGATTCCTTATAAGGATATTCTAGAGAACAAGGAGATCGTTTGGTGAGCAACTGCTTTCAATGATTCATCATCAGACCAGTACAATCATACATAGGGCTAAAAAGGGAAAGAGTAAAATCGACCAGTTAGTACAAGTAAACTAGATAAAAAATCGAAACGAGTTAACTACATGTTACGGAGTTTGATCTCATGTCGTTGACCTCAGTATCCCCCGTTTTCTCGGGTCAGGGAAGCTGTAGAGTCTGGACTAGCTTCTTTTGCGAGCACAAGGACGGTTGAACTACTCGAACGCAAATTGCTTCGGCTGTCGCGAGTGTACGGAGACGTTGACCTTTCGATCGGTGCGGTGGAACCTTGTATACAACTCTAAAGGTACGCTTTAGATCCACCTGATGCCCACTGTGGACAATTTGAGCCAAAATGGCCCCGAAGCTACCTTGATGCAATCAACGTAGACAATGTTCATTCAAGCGTTTGGACAAGTGCCACGCAGTTCGACTGACATACGTTGCACCACAGGCGCACTCGAACTGATGAGTAACCATTGAGGTGGTCAACATGGGCAACCTCTCCAATTTTCGTGAACGGAGGAGTGGTTCTGTCGAAAACATGCACTTTGGCGTTGCTGCTGCGAAGCTCGACTTACTTGCGCCCGAAAGACTTCGGGATAAACGCTCAGTAACTGCGTCCCCTTTGAACGGTAGTCGTATGAATAGCTCTATTTTTGCCGCTGGTAACACTGGCACTTGTTTAGGTTTTACCTCAAGGTTTCCTTAAAAAATCTGTCGGTGTCTCCATTTTCGTGCAACCCCTTCCGTATGAACGTCAGTTCCGCATTTAGGGTGTCTTCCGAGCAGATTCGACGTGCTCTCGTGGTAAGACAGTAAATCAAGTTGCATTTATATCTCAGAGAGACGAAGCTGTGGGAATTCGTATATTGGCCAATCCACGTTGGCTTTCTACAGATCTGCCGCTGGATTGAGCCGTCCGGTCTCCTAGTTAACAGAACATCAAGATACGGCAGTTGATTTTCGATTCCTTTA